GGAGGGGGATACGCCGCGGCCGGCGGGCAAGGGGTACGGGTGGCGGCTGCAGTACGTGCAGCGGTTCCGCGCGCTGCATGCCGCGGGGACGCCGGAGCCGAGGACGGCCGAAATGTACTTGGCCGATGTGATGCAAGCGGTACGGATCATGGTGCTTTCGCGCTTCGAGAAGGAAGAACTGACGCTCTGTTTTTGTTGTCGGTAGCGCGCGAATCCGGCCGCGACCCTGGCCGCGGCCTCCGCGCACTTTGCCATGGCGCACGCGCATTTGACCGCGCTCGCCTCGTCGGCGGAGCGCGCCGCACAGGCGCTGCATCTCGGCGCACTCCAGGGTAACTGGGCGCGCGAGCACGCGGTCCAGGTCGTACAGGGTCTTCTCGATACGTGTACGGCGTCGCAGACGGCCGTGGAGCAACTGAGCGTGTACCTGCCGCGCCCGGCGACGCCCGAAACCGCGGCGGCAGCGGCCAAGAAGCCGCCGCAGCAGAAGACGCCAGCGCGGCATAATCATGGGAAGAAGGGCAAGAAGGGGCCCGCGGGGAAAAAGCGCGGGCCGAGTGCCGGCGGGAAGGGCAAGGGGAAACCGGCGGCCAAGGAGAAGCATCAGGACGGGGAGGAGGGTGATGGGGAGGGGGATGGCGAGGTGGCCGCGGAGCCGCAGATCGTGTGGCCGATGGTGCGCGTCGAGTTTGGGCCCGAGTCGAGCCTGTTTGGGCGGCTGGTTGTGGACCGGCCTGCGGTCGTCGAGGAGGAACAGGTGGTGGTGGAGAATGCAGAAACGAGGGCGTAGGCGGGATTTCAAGGCCAAGATGGGCCGGTCTTGGCGATTTGGTTGGAATACGATCTGGCCACGACAGCAGGAGAGCGGTCGCATTTTAACTGCCTCTCAAACAATCGAAACCAAGTTGGCATATCCATTTTTCCCATCCCAAAACCGAATCATACTCGTCAAACCTCGGCAAGCTTGGCGAGGATCGCGGCATGGAGTGTCGCGCGGTGCGCGTCGCCGCCGACCGTATCGAGAAGAGAGTCCATGGTTTCAAAAACGCGGCCCACAAGCGACGCGCGATTTGGATCTCGCCTTGCTGGGTCGTGGAGTGCAATCGGGAACAGGTCGAGGAGCTGGAGCGGGATCAGTGCCAGCAAACTCGCATCAACCGAAGCTACCAACGGCTGCGACAAGAACATACCACATACCCATGAGACGCAAGCTCGACGTGAACACAAGTCGCAGCCGCTTCACTTGCAGGCACCATGGCTTGCACGACGGGCGGCGTCGTGGTCAAGATGCAGTTACCGCGCTTTGCGGCGGAACTTTCGCGCGGGGGAAGCACGGTCGGATCCGTGACGCGTGTGAGCACGTTCTCCACCAGACAGGTATGATAGTAGTCGAGAAAACGCTGGAGTTTGGCCTGGACGGCCGCGTCGTCGCACGGATGGGTTGCGGAGCCTGGCGAGGATGCAGGGCCCGCGGAGTCGGGCGCCGCTGCGATTGCTGGTGCCGGTATGTTGTCGGTCATGTTGCTGCTGGTTGCTCGCGGTGGTTAGGGTCGAGCAAGATCAAGCTGAACTGATGATGATGCTGAAGAGGGAGTGCCAGTGGCAGAGATCGTCGCGCTCACGTGCGCCGACTTAAAGAGTGATCAGCGCCGCTTCGTTTTGACGCCCGCTCCGCGCAACCACGATTACTTGATTTCCAACTCGACAAGTCGAGTGTCACTCGCTGCAAGGCATGCATTCAACCATTTTGAGCTCAATGATGGCCTGTTGGCCCGGGATCAGGCGGTGGTGAACAAGGGCGATCCTGTTCAGGTCGACGAGGATTTCCCATTACTGGGCTTTCGATACGACACATCAAGCACGGTCAATGGAAACCACGGAAAAACGGCAGCGATCTGTCGTTCCACGCTGTGCTTTGTGCCACCGAGCACGGCGCGAGACCCTGTCCAGCGCGACCTCTCACTCGCGCTCACGTCACAGATGGACCTGTTGCTGACCGCCGTGCCATCACGCACTCGCACCCCGTTTCCCGCGCGTAGCCGCACCCTTCGACTCTCGCTCCTGCTCCCGCTCCCGCCCCACCATCACCATGGCCGAAGCCGCGTTCCAAAAGGTCTGTCGGGCCCGCATTTTTCCGGCGTCTGTTCCGCTCGGCTTGCACTTACAACGACTGCGCACACGATGTAGATGCTCGAGGAGATCCAGGCCAAGTCGTCCGAGTACAACCGGCAGCTCGTGCAAGTGCGCACGCAGATCCAGCTCAAGGAGCGCGAGCGCAAGGTCTCGGAAATTCAGATCCGAGAACTCGAGGCCGCGGGCACCAAGACCAACACGTTTGTCTCGGTTGGCAAGATGTACGTACGCGCGCAGCCTGGGGTGAAGAGCGCACTGCGAACGCCAACTGACCCGCACGCGACTAGGTTCCTGCAAATGCCGCAACCGACGATCGTGAACCAGCTGCAAATGAAGGTGGCGTCGCTCGCCGACGACGTGGCCGTGCTCACCAAGAAGCAAGCGTACTTGGTCAAGTCGGTCGCGGATTGCCAGTCGGCGCTCAACGAGGCCATCAAGCAGATGCAGTCGGCATAAGGACGGTAGAGATATGTGGTTGTCATTTGATACTTGACGCAGTTTTGGATCCGCTATGTCGTCGTGCTGGAGGGTGAGAGCTGTCGCGGGTCATGCTCGTTTTGTGAAAGAAGATGAGCGATGCGCGGCTTACAATTTTAACACGCAGCAAATCCAAGGCTCCAAAACATGATGCTGATTTGGGGGGAAAATTATTCACAAATTGCCGCTGCGCCTGCTTCAATTGCTCCACACGGACACCGCCGCGACCACCACATTGGCTATCACGACCACCGTCGGGGGACACGGCCGTCGATGGCACCACGCGCAGAGTCGTGCTCCTTAGATCGGCTTGATCTACAAGCAGGGCCCAGGACGTGAGAATGAGCGAGCGGGATCGGACAAAGATGGTGCAACCACCAACGGACCTTGAAGTGCAGCGAGATCAACGAGAACACAAAGCACTTGAGGTCCTGCACGAGGTAGTAGAACGCCTTGAGGCCCTCGGGGTCGCTCGAGTTTTGAATGTCGACGAGCGACCCAATTTTGGAGGTCTGGTGGGGCCACGGAAAGGAAACTGGTCAGCACGGGTCGCCCCAGACGTGGTCAGAGGGTGGAATCGTACCGTGAAGCAGATGTGGTCCTTGCCCGACACGATTTCCAGCTCCTGCTTGCCGTCAATGTTGGGCTCGGGCCAGTTGGCGTCGTCTTCCCTGCACACCGAGGGGTAGTGAGCGGTGAGTGAAGGACTCGCTCGACGCCGCGACCAACACGGTTGCGCAAAAGATTCGGGAATTTTTCACCCCGGCCATGGGCCCGCCAGCGCTCGCGAGCGATAAAAAAAATCCGTACTTCATGATCTCCGACTGCGCAACGATTCGCTGCAGCTCCTTGAGAATCATCGGCGAGACATAGGCTAGAGATTGACCGACGGTTGCCTACGTCAGTTCGGTTTACAACCGAGACCAAAATCGAATCGACAATTTGGCCGCGGCCGATTCCGTGGGGTGACCAGCCGCGCGGCGCTCGCGGACGACCACGCGGTGCGATAAGGTGAATGGCATGACGACCGACCACAAAGTCGGAGCGACCACACGGCGTGGTGACGGACTACTCGGCACGGCGATCACATGCAGTCGACCGCACGGGTCGACCGAACCAGCTCCGTGGGGCGACCGACCATCATCCGCGACGACCGATCACGCGGCCAACCACAACGACCAACAAGAAGTGACCATTCGAACGCCTGCAAAATCACACCTTCTTTGCGAATCATCGTATCATTCTTGTAATTCGAGTTGTTGCGATACCGCAGCTTGCCATTGCTCTGGAACTCGAATTCGAGAAACTCGTGGCCGTACCGGCCCGTGTGGCCGACGCTATTGTAGCAAACCCGAGACGATGGGGATCAGAGCAAATTCCGGGCTTGGATCGTGGTTGGATCTAGGATTATTTTGCAGCAAGTTGGGGCGTGGTTCATACTAGTATCGCACGTAAAAGTCGCTCATGGTGTTTGTGGCCGTCACTTGAGACCTTTTGCAAAGTCCTGAGACGAGGTTTCAGTTAGAAATAACGTTATGGCCCACCTCTGCGAGACGTTTCGAGGAGACTTTTTCTCAGGAAAGCCAACACAGGATCAGAGCTCTCTCTCTGGTCACAGCGAAGCCGACCCGAGGTTTGTTCGACGCGAAAAGATGGATCCACTTTGGCGCTGCTGACCCTGACGCGCCACCTTGCCAAGGCACTTTGCACATCCATGAGTCGTCCACCTCAGCTTGACTGCCGGCATCTTCACGGCATTTGTGGCAAGATTGTGGCGTTGCCAGAGCAAGCGCAACAGGTGCACAGCATGTGCTCTCCATGCCAGGGCTGCCAGAGGGATTTGCAGAGGCCACCACGATTGAGTGCACAGCTGTCTGTGCATGACACGCTCATGCTCATGCTCATGCCACCAGCTACCACGCTGGTCTGTCTGCGCACTTCACTGAGCGACGCATGCACGATGGCGGTGTGGCCAGGCCACTGGCGGCAAGCGATGGCAAGGATGGCGTGCATGGATTGCAACTGGAGCGATCTGCGTCATGGTCACTCTCCTTGTGTGAAATACGTAGGGGCTCCCATGAATTTTCAAGTTACTTCGTGGAAAATTGAATCCAAGCAGGGGATGTCTAAACTCAGAAAATATCTCGTTTTGGGACATTGCTGAAGGTCTCTGCTGCCCAACAACAATGATGCTGTCACCCATGAATATCCACGGCCCGCAACTACTAGTCAGCACGCTCTGGAGAAACACAAATGATTGGAACGGTCTTGCAATGTGGGCGGCGGGGGTGGGGCCTAAGTGAAGCCGCCAACTTGAGCAGAGCCTAAGTCAGGTCAAAAAACTCGACGCACCTTCGTGGCGTTTCCAGTCAATTCGCAGCAAGACCTATTGCGCCGTCCGGGGTTCGAACCCGGGACACCACCTTGGAAGGGTGGGATGTTAACCACTACACTAACGGCGCCAATGTCTTGTGATGAGGAAGTTTTGATTCCGTATATATACTAATCGTGCATTGATTTTGGTATTGGCTCTGATCCTCCTCCATCGACAAGGTGGGCAGTGAGCACCAAACCGATTTTGATAGTCGCCCACTCGCTGCAAAGCTCATGTCGCTCAGCGTTATTGGCCGTCTGAGCGGTGTCCAGCAACAATTCGGCACCAGCAAGTTGATTCGGGTCGCGACCACTGTGGCCATTTCAAGATTCAACACCAGCCGACCAATCCCAACAAGCATTCTCTCTCCGAACATCATTTCCCCCGCGGTGGCCACGCCGATCATGTCAAGGCAACACCGATCCTTCCACGCCTCAGGCCCGCATCTCGATGTCGACCCGACCGACCCAACGTCCCCGACCTCGTTCCCCGCCCGACTCGCGGCCATGACGGGTCTATCCGGACTCGATACGCCCCTAGCGACGGGTTCTCTGGCGCTGACGGCCATGGCCGGCACCCTGGCCGCTGTCAAAGTGCTCGGGGACATGCTCGTCGATTTGATCAAGAAGCGCATTCTTGTGCGTGCCGATATCGATTCGCGTGACGATGCGTATGCGTGGGTGCTCGCGTGGCTTGCCGAGTCTCTGCAGCGCGACTGCCGCCACGTCTCGGTCTCAACGCGCGTCTCGCTCACCATGACGTCGGCACATGCCGCCGAGGAGGCCGCGGTGACGGCCGCAGCGACGGGGCACCGGCCCGTTTACTTTTTCCCGGCACTCGGTACTGAATTTGGCGATTTTGCGGTCGAGATTTACGATTGTGGGTTTAGACACTGACCCGAGCTCGCTTTCATTCCAGGTGTCCACTTTTTTTGGTACCGCAACCGGCTCTTCTGGGCGACGCGCACTCGCGCGCAACCCGCATCTGGCGCCGTCTCCGGCGGCGCGGCCCCGGCCGAGACGCTGCGGCTCACGACGCTCGGCCGCGACCGGCGCATCATCGAGCACCTCGTGCACGACGCGCAATCGCTGCACCTCGCACGGGACAAGTCGCGCACGCAAGTCCTGACCGGCGACCAGTATGGCGTCTGGCGCCGCGTCTACTCGCGCCCCGCGCGCCCACTCGCGTCGGTGGTCCTGGACGCGCGCGTCAAGCGCGACCTGGTCGCCGACGCGCGCGCGTTTTTGGCGTCCGAGCAGTGGTACGCCGAGACAGGGATCCCGTACCGCCGCGGGTACCTCCTGCACGGTCCACCGGGCACGGGCAAGACGAGTCTGGTCGCGGCGCTCGCGGGCCACTTGCAGCTCAACGTTTATGTCCTGAATCTCGCGTCCAAGGCACTCAACGACGCGAACGTGCTCGAGCTCCTGATCGATGCGCCGCCGCGGTGCATTTTGCTCCTCGAGGACATCCACGCGCTCTTCCAGCCGCCCGCGGACCCGATCGACTCCACGGCCATCGAGCCGACGTCGGGCCCGCTCGAGAACGGCGGGTACAAGTACACGCGCCCATCGCTCACGTCCAACATTTCCTTCTCCACCCTCCTCAACATCCTTGACGGTGTGACGGCCTCTGAGGGCCGGCTGCTCATCATGACGTGCAACACGACCGAGCACCTCGACCCAGCCCTGCTTCGTCCGGGGCGCGTCGACCGGCACGTCTACCTCGGCAACGCGTCCCCCGCCATGGCCGCGACCTTGGCCGCGCGGTTTTTCCCGACCGCCGACGACAAGGTACCCGCCGCGTTCGCGCGCGCTCTCGCCGACCAAATCGCGCGCGGCGGGCTGGCCGCACCGGCGAATCCGCACCTGGCCGTGGCTCCCGCACCGGCACCGGTGAGCGGTGAGGACGATGACTTGGGTCCGGTCAACTTACCCGTCGAGGACACGCAGGCGGTCGCGCGCGCGGCCGTGGCGCTCGCGCACGTGCGCGACGACCTGGTGCATGCCGAGTCGCGCGTGTCGCCGGCGCAGCTCGTGCAGTACTTGATGCGGTTCCGGCACGATCCGGCGGCCGCGGTCGCGAATGTCGCGCAGCTCGTGGCGATGGGGAGCAGTGGGGCCGCGGGTACGGCGCAGGCTGTCGACGGCCGTGCCGAGGAGGACGCGGCGGCGAGTGGTGGGATGCGGCAGCGTAAAGTGGTCGGTAGCACGGAGAGTGACGCGGAATAGAGCAGAATGATTGAATGATTATTTATTGGTCATGAATCGTTTGGTTGCCGTCGTCGGAGTGTGTCCTGGCGCTGTCCTGGTGCCGTCGTGCCGGTGGGTGATTTGTGTGCGTCAGCGCGCACTGAGCAGCGGTGGTCAAAAACGCTGTGTTGGCGAAGGATCACGGAACACATGGCGCCATCCGCCACGCCGCAAGCCGCACGGATGAGAAAAGGCCGTTGCGGGAGAACGGAACCGGCCATATTGCTTAGGAACCGAAGCGTTCCGCGCGTCTCCCACCGTGGTCCCACACTTCATTTTCCTGATCACTTCATTCCGTTTTCCCTCGTATTGTCCTGTTTGCCGCACCGTCGGCGTCAGCTGCAAGCAATGCCGGGCGACGCCCACCGCATCGCGATAGCCCGCAACCCTGCGAAGGACCACATGTGCGGCACGAATGGAAGGAAACGCGAGTCTTCCTTGCGGGGTCGCGTATAAAAGGCGCGAGCACCCACGGCCTCTTCTCTCCTCCATCGACCCGACAACGACGACAGGCTCGTTTGCACCAGCTCGACCTCACTTCCCCATCCCTCAACCCCAACTCCTCGCAACAATGGCGCAGAAGGCTAAGGTACGCGCCCTTGGCAGCACGCATCGCCTCCCCTCGCTCGCACGGCTGACCACGAATCTGACCAACCGTCATCGGCTTGCGTAGATTGCCATCATCATCTACTCGCTCTACCACCACGTCTACACGCTGGCCAAGTCGGTCAAGGCCGGCATCGACGCGACGGGCCACGCCGAAGCGACCATCTTCCGCGTCGCAGAGACGCTCCCCGCCGAGGTGCTCACCAAGATGCACGCGCCGCCGGCGCCCGAGCTCCCGATTGCCACGCCCGAGACGCTCACCTCGCACGACGGTATCGTCTTCGGCATCCCGACGCGGTTCGGCATGCTACCGGCGCAGGTCAAGGCCTTCTTCGACTCGACGGGTCAGCTGTGGATGCAGGGCGCGCTGCAGGGCAAGCCGGCCAGTATTTTCGTGTCGACGGCGACGCAGCACGGCGGCCACGAGACGACGGCGCTCGCGACGCTGCCCTACTTTGCGCACCTCGGGCTCATTTACGTGCCGCTCGGCGCGCTCGCGCCCAACGGGATCGACGAAATGACGGGCGGGTCGCCGTGGGGCGCCGGCACGATTGCGGGCGGTGACGGGTCCCGCCAGCCGTCGGCCAAGGAGCTCGAGACGGCAACCGCGCAGGGCAAGCACTTTGCCACGGTCACGGCCAAGCTCGTCAACGGCGCGGCCCTGCTGTAAGATGGGTTCGATGCTCGATCATTTTGCAGCCTCGCTTTTATTACCCCGATGCCTTTGCTTCTGTAAATACATTACGATTTGGATCTGAAACTGCGCCTGTTGATTCCATTTGTGATTGGACCGAAGACCGTGCGAGGGTGGCTGACAGAACCCCTGGTGGCAGTGGCTACAGGCTGAGAGGTTCCGTTCCAATCCAATCTTGCGGTGCTCCTGGAGAAGGGTTATGAACGAGAGCTGCCCTCGCGCACAAGCGTCTCTCCTGCTCCAATCATTCATTGCGACCAACTCAAAGCCGCTTTAATGTCCTCTGGCCAGTCACCCCGTGCCAATGGTCCCCCAAATCCATCCAAATACCGCGCGAATCAGTGCCGCCGGCGGCGCATGCCAAACACGACCCAGTCACGGTCCACGGTACCCGGCCGGTTGCTCCAGTCGTCGTCGAGTAGGGTGCGTGGCTGCACAAGACGCAGTACCGCACGTACTCGCGCGTGATGCCCACGCAGGCCATGAGTGCATCATCCCAGGTGCCGGTGGGAGCCAAACGCGCGCGTTTCCCACTGGCGCTCGTGGTTTTCGAGTATGGGCAGTAGTGCAGGATGGTGTCAAAGTCGTGCAGTGGCACCGTCGTGCCGGAACTGCGTGATCTCAAACTTGGCCGTCACCGTGTACATGACTGGCCGTACTCGTCCTTAGCGAGTTGCTTGAGCACGGCCGCGTCGATCGCGCGCACGAGCGGGTTGGTAGCGGCGGGCGGGAGCGTGCGGCGGTCCTCGTCGCTGCTGCTGCTGCTGCTGCTGCTGCTGCTGCTGCTGGAAGAATCGGTGTCGCCGCTGCCGGTACCAATCGTGCCACCCAATCATGTCCTCGTACGCGACACCGGCATCGTCGTCGCTCGAGTCCGAGTCGCTCGAGTCCGAATTGCTCGTGTCCGAGCCGCTTGAGTCGTCACTCGAGTCCGAATCGCTCGAGTCGCCGCTATCGCTGTCGTCCTCGTCGTCGTGCGGCCGCATGCGGGACGGCGCGATCTGCACCCGCTCCAGCGTGCCACAGCCCAGTCGCATCTCGCGCGCAGCAACGGCCGGACCCGCCACGAGCGCAGTGGCATCCGCGTTCACGCGCGCCACGGCGTCCATGGCCTTGGCCCACTCTGGCTGCAGCTCGGCCTGCGCGTGCATTTCGCACAGGACGTGCGCGAGCTCGTGGAGGCCGGGAATCGCGGTGGCCGTATCGCGAGCGAGCCGCGCAAGTGCGTGCAGGTCGTTGAGCGTGCGCGTCATGGTCGCGACGGTCCCAATCGCGCGGTCGACGAGGTACGTGCGCATGGCGGTGGTGCAGTCCATGGCATCTGCGACAAGGGTGCGCAGGTGCGTGTCGGCGGCCGCGGGCTCTGGCGGCAGCGGGGACGTGGTGTCGGGACGGGCGTGTGGAGGTGGTGCGGGTGCGTCGGTCATGGCGGTTAGCAGATTAGTTAGCAAGCCGGTCAGATTGTCGAGAGGGATCACGACGATCGCGCCAGATCACGACCATGGTCGCCGCGTGCCGCCTTGGTAAATACCTATC